AGTTGCTGAGCCTCAGTTTCCTTAGCAGTAAAATGGGGATAATAATACCTGTGTAGAGGCATTTTCATACATCAGGGAGAGAGGGCCTTTTGTGGCTTCAGGAAGACTTGGATCTGAGGCTTGCTTCTGGCTTACCTGTGTGACCCGGGTAAGTCACTTACTTTTTGGTGTACTGTAACTCTAACATTTTAAATTATAGCCCAGTTGGTCATTTGCATTGTTGGAGGGAGTTTTCACACCTGGAATTCCCTATCCCTGGAAATCACAGATCTAAACTCCCTTCCCCCCCAAAAAAAGAATGAACAAGAGGGGTGACCCACAAGGCAGCCATGACTCTAAGCCAGTTGGACAGATTCTTGGCAAATGGAATAAAGAAGAAACCCCTCTAGAGCCCTTAACCAACATTTATATAGGACTTTCAGCCCTATGCAAAGCAACGTGCACACATTTGATGCTCACAATAGCCCTGGGATAAGCCATGCTAATATTATCCCCATTTTCCAGATGAATAAGCTTCAGAAAGGCTGTGGTCACATAGCTAATGAGGTTAAATTCAGAGAATACATTTGGGCATAGGGGTATGAAGGACAGGTAAAAGCAAGAGCCTAGTGAGGATCTTTCCCTGTCCCCATTTTTTCGGGACCTGACCTGTGATTTTATGAGTATAGGGAGCCCAGAGTGAGGAATTCCCTTTATCAACCTGCTCTGCAATTTATCGTTTTGTTATTTCTCCTTCCAGGAAGCCTCTGGGAGGAATTGAAGGATGATGGCTTAGCCCTAGACCCCCTGGTGCTGGTCACATCATCCCCAGTGCCGTCCCACTGCTTGCCATCCCACTGCCTGGCAGGGTCTGGAGGCAGTACCAGTGAGCTAGGCCTGCCGGGCAATGGCGCCCCCAGTGGACTGAGCGACCTGCACCTCACTACTTTCTACTCAGCCTTAATGGAACTGGACCCCGTGGCCCCACCGTACCTGAACTCCAGCTCCAAGCCCATGGGACTTGTGTGAGTCTCTGAGGCAGCAGCCACTCCTGCAGGTTGCAGCATCCCCCAGGGGCCAGTCTGGGGAGAGCCAACGACCAACGGATCAATCACCTTTCCCCCTGTGAAGGAAGGAAAAAAGGCTCCTCCCTCCCCTCAAAAAAAAAAAGGGAAAAAAACCCTAAAAAAAATCAACATGACTTTGCCAACTTGTTTTTTAGGAGAAAGGCCTGGGAAACTGAGGGGCGTTCCCTGCCTTCTCTAGTCCTGCTAGGCCCCCATGGTCCCCAACCCCCTAACATTTCTGCAGCCTCTGGCTTGGGGTCTTCAGAACACCCCCTTTTCTTCCAGTTGTTTCATCTGTCAGGGCCCCTGGAAACTTTCTAAGACTCTCGAGTTATAAATCAGGTGCCATCTGCACTGGTGGGGAAGGGGGGTTATGTCTTCACTGAATTCCCTGTATGGTCAAAAGCACACACACGTACATGTGTGTACACACGCATTTCTGTGCATGTAGATATGAATGCACACATGTCCGTGTATGTCCCAACATTCAATGGATCCATGCTCTCATTTGTACAGGTACTCTGTCCACCTGTGAAGATTTAACAAAACCACACCTTTGTGTAGCTAACATTGTGAGCACACGTACATGTCATACTGTGTCTATGGCAATGTGACATGCGCTTGTGCACTCATCATACACATGCCTTGTAGACATCATGTATACCTCATATAGGATACCCGTGCATGTGCCGATAACATTTGTGTGTGTATGTATAGACAGACATATATGTATACTTCAATATTCAATGGACCTGCAATTTCATCAATGTAGGTACTTTAGAGGTCCACCAGTGAAGGTTATGACAAAGCCTTTTGTCATCCTTCTTCAAAGAGATAAGGCATACAACATGTGTGTGTCATGTGTGCTCATGGAAGCACATACCACGTGTGTCAGATATGTTGTGCAATGTTGTGTGCATATGGGCATGTGTATTCCATATAAAGGTATACATCAATCAATAGAAATTTATTAGGTGCCTACTATGTGCCAAGCACTATGCCAAGTTCTGGTATATATGATATTTACAAAGCATATGTATAATATATACACATACAAATATGTATGTATGTATGCATGTACTGGCAGACTTTGACTTGGCATGTGGGTCACACATACATGTGTAAACGTGTGTATGTATATATGTGTGTGTTGTGAAGAGAGAGACAGGAAGGGAAAGGAGAGAGAGAGAGAGAGACAGAGAGAGAGAGAGAGGAGTATATATACCACATACTAAGGCAAAGCTACCAACAGGAATCTGCTTTTGATTCCCATGTTCAGTGGCATCAAAACATGGGAATTTCCCTGCCCCCTCCCTGCCCTTCCCCCAATTCCCTGTCTTGGCAACATTCAATATTTATTTGCCAGGTTTCATCCCGACAGGACAGGGAAGAGGTGGCAGCACCAGGGTAGGAGAAGACCCCTCAAAGTCAGCACAGCGTCCAGGTCCTGATACTCCTGCGGGAAGGGACAGCACAGCCATTGTCTGCTCGGGCCCCAAACCAGATTCCTTAGGGAAGGGAATTAAAAGGCAGGTGAGCTCAGAAATATGGATGCCACTGGAAACTTGAAAACGTCCTTAGGACTTTGGAGATTCTTGGAGGAGGAAACCAAGGTCATCCAGGTCTGTCTTGTTCTCTTGAAAGGAAGCTCCACAGCTCCAAAATTCATCTAACTTCTCCCCTCTTGGAGTGGGCTCTCCTCCTGGGGCTGCTGTGGGGCCGCTGTGGGTTGGCCCCTCTCTTCTAGGCTACTGAGAAGTTGGAGCCCCTTGGCTCCAATTCAAAGCTGCCCAGAATGCTGCAGAGCCTGCTCGGCCCAGAAAGGCGGACTGGAGGAGCCCCACTTTGTGGTCTGCTATCTGGCACCTGGATCCCTGCCCGACCGGGTCCCACAATACCAAGCCCTCAGAGGCACTTGTCCTCAGCCCCATGCACTCTGCTGCTGCCACCCATCGGTCACCCTCAGGAGGGACACTTGGGCTGGGGCTGGGTCCATGGGGAGCCAGCCAGAGCTCAGCCACAGGCTCCAGATGGCTAAAGAGTACCTGGAGCTGGCCTGCCCCAAGGCCCCTCAGTTCACTGCCAGCCTGTAACATGTACTGTAGAAATAAAGTAAACGTCTATCTTCTTGCCTCCTGGTCCTTTCATTTCTGATCTGTCTTCCCTGGGCAGACAGCCAGGACCCAGCCAACAGAGGAGACCCAAATGACTCTAGAAAAAACCTGTCCCTTCACACCAGGCCCCCCAACCTCCGAAGGGTAGCTTCCACAATAGAGGAAGGCCTGAATGAGACTTCCCTGTCAGTCAGTCAACAAGCATCCAGCACTTACTATGTACCAAGCATTGTGCTAATTACCCTTGGGATACAAATAAAATCAAGCAAGACAAGGCCTGCCCTTCAGAAGTTCCCATTCACAGGGCAGCTAGGTGGTGCAGTGGTTAGAGCACCGGCCCTGAAGTCAGGAGGACCTGAGTTCAAATTCAACCTCAGAACAAACACCTGACACTTACTAGCTGTGTGACCCTGGGCAAGTCACTTAACCCCAATTGCCTTAAAAAAAAAAAGAAGAAGAAGAAGAAGCTTCCATTCTAATGGAGGACATAACATGCAAATAACTATGTACATAAGGCACTAGCTTGAGAAAAAACCATTACTGTAAGAACAGGCTTCACGTCTTCCCACCAGCTTTCCAAAGGCCATTTTCAATGGCGGCCATTCCAGTGGTAAGATGGTGATCACTCATCTACTTGGGCAGCCCCTTGAGGGGAGGGAAAGCAGGGGTCAGAGAAGGATGAGGTAACCTTCTTCACAGAATTTGTGGCCACCCCTTCCAAGTTCCAAGAGCTGCCCCCAACTCTCTGCCAAATCCTTGCTGTTCAGTGGTTTCACTCATGTCCAACCCTTCAAGACCCCATCTGGGGTTTTCTCAGCAGACACTGGAGTGGTTTGCCATTTCCTTCTCCAGCTCATTTTACAGATGAGGAAACTGAGGCAAACAGGGTGAAGTGACTTGCCCAGGGTCATACCGCATGTCTAGTCATGTACACATATATGCGCATATGTACATGTACACACACGTGCAATGCACAAATGTACACTGTGTATATGCATATATAGAAATATACATGTGTGTGTATACACATACATATATGTATGTATACATATGTGCATGCATGCACACATACATATATACGTATACACGCACACACACACAAAAAAAGTTTCCCAGTGACTGCAAAACCTGTGAAAAACTCCTGAGTATCCTGAGAAAATGCTACCATTTTCAGCATTCTTCCAAATGAAAACATCTAACTGATTTTTGTGCCTCTGCTGCCCCCTCCCGGCCACCCCCTCCCACACAAACTCCAGGCTGGCCTCTGCAGAAAATGAGTGACAACATGGTCATAATGATGACTTTCCTTGACCTGATAAAACAAGGTACTTTTTCAAGTACCAGAATATTCCACAGTCTTCTTCCAGGACCCATTTGCCCCTCAGTCCTCCAAAATAGTATCTCCCTCTCTGTCGATTATCTCTGGTTTACCCTGTTTCTATCTAGTATGTATAGATGTGGTTGGCATATTGGCTCCCCCATTCGAATGCAAGCTCCTTGAGGACAGGAACTGTCTTTTGCCTTTCTTTGTATACTCAGCACTTAGCACAGTGCCTGGTACATAATAAGTACCTAATAAATGTTTGTCGATTAAGTGACTAATCCTGAGCGAGGGCATCAACCCAGGTGGCATCTCCAAAGGCAGAAGCATTTGCTAATGCCTGGGATTTGGAACCCTGCCCTGCAGCAGGGAAGACCAGAGCCCTTCAAGGAAGCTAGCATCCCTAAAGCCAGCCAACCACTCCTAGCAGTGTCTCTGTCTGCTTTGTGAAGTCCAAATTGCTAACTATGACAAAGATATTTACTGGAACATGTCAAGGAAAAGAGTGCACATCACCAGTTTGGTACCTGAGCAACAAAAAGGAAATTTAATGGATCTGGAATTTTAAAGGTATTGATTTCAGAAATCGAAATATGATAGAATCCCGTATGTGGTAGAACAACAGTCCAAATTCACAAATCTTCGACATTAACCAGAGTGAGCAGCTTGAGACTGAAAAGCTGCTCCCAGACAAGGGAAGGGTCTATGCCCAACACACAACAGGTGTTTGAAATAGTACATACACCCGGAAGAGGAACACAGAGCATGGAGTCCTGAGGAAGAGCTGGCACCGCGAGGGAGAAGGTCTGCTCCTTACCCTAGCCCCAGTCAAAACCTATTCAAGTTCTGACCCAAACACTCTAGTCTAACCTGAACTCTAGCCTGGCCCCAATTCCCTAACAACATAAAGCCTTAGACAATAATAGACTATGCTAGAGGTGGAAGGGACCTTGGAAACCATTTAGCCCACCCACCACTTTACAGAGGACACAGAGATGGGGATGTGAAGTGACATGCCCAAGGTCACACAGCTAATTAGCAGCAGAGCTAGCATTTGAACCTGGGGGTTCTGACTCCCCAACAATGTTTCTACCACACCACAATGCATCACCCCCATCTCACTCCCTAGGCCTAACCCCAAGGGCAGGTCTTCCAGACTAGGAACTAGGCCCCTCCTACCGAGAGGCTCTCTCCCTCTTGTCCCCAGCGCATTAAAGGTGTCATCCTATCACGGGCCCTGCCTTCACACAAAACCTCCCCTTGATCAAATAATAGCTGTAATGCGCTTCAGAAACCTTAAAGCGTTGTCACCTCTGATTGTTATATTTTCCTCCTCTGAAAATTTACCCATATGCCCCTTTTGAAGAAGTGAACTGCGCCCCTCCCCCAATTCCTTCGTGTATATACTTTTCTGTGTTTGTTGTATCTCCCCAGTAGAATGGAAGCTCCTTGAGGGCAAGCACTAGAGAGATCACTTTCGTCTTGGTGTCGCCAGCCCCTGGCACACTGTGGCTGTTTAATGAATATTTGTTGAATTGAATTAGCAAACACCCACGTACCCCTCCCCTCCTTAAGCCTCTTGCACCACTCCAGGGGAAAGGAAGCAGCATTCTTTATTGTTCCTGTCTCTTCCGGATTTTCAGTTCCTGGCCCTCAGCTCCCCGATTCCAACACAATTCCTATACCCCTAACCCCTCTGAGATAGTCATTTCCACTTGGATAACCCACCAAATACACACACACACACACACACACACACACACAACCCACTCATACAGAGGTAGAGAAACTAAGGTTTTGCTTTTGTGCCCGGAAAGATAATGGATCCCAAGCTGGAAGGGATCTCAGCGGCCGTCAAGTTCAACCTCATTTTACAGATGAGGAACTCGAGGCCGGGGAGGTCACACAGGTAATAACAAAGATTGGGTCTGAACCCGAATTCTACTGCCTTTGTCTGTCATGAACCAAAGGACAGATGAACACACTCCTTTCTCCCAATCCATTCATTGTTACACACACACACTCACACACACACACACACTCACACACCTAGTTCTTTCCCCAGTACCGTCTGCAGTGCCAACAAGTTTGTTACTGTCTGATACTCTCCTATACCCTTGGGAAGTCATTCTTGCTTTCGGGTCAATCCTGAAGACGCATGCCACCTCCACCCCTGGGCCGCCCTTTCTCCGGCCTTCACGTTTTCATCATGGGGAAGTCTTTCCTGGCCTCTCCCCTCAAGCTGCCTGCTGCACTTTCAACCCACTCCCCCATTGCGGCTCTCCATAGAGCTAAACAGCACCAACTAAACACTCTCCTTCAGTTTTGCTGGTTGTTAGAGCCAAGGACTGATAATCCCAGGCCTACAAGAGATGTTTTTCATTACAGGTATCATTTTCCCTTTCCCTCCTACTCTTTCCAGGTCACCTGGGTTCAGGATTAATTCTTCAGCCCCAAGCTAAGATGATCAGATTCGGCGTTGCTAGCTGGTGCCCGCCTTAGTGGTACAATAGGCGGAAAAGATGGAGAAATGCTCTCATTGACCACAATATCTCCCTACCCAGGTCATGATGTCTGAAATACCTTTCTTACCCCCGATTCCTCTTTGGACCTCTGGGAAAAAGATAGCCCAGTTCCTTCTTCATTCCTTCAGCATATTTTTGTCTGGAATGCTGCATCCCAATCATTTTCCCCATTCCCTCTGATTAAACCCTGCCCAAAGCACTTCTCTCTGGCCACTGCTCCCCTCTGTCTGTAGTCTTCCCCTATGAGAATGTAAGCTCCATGAGGGCAGAAATTGTCTAGTTGCTTATACTTGTATCCCCAGCTCTTTACACAGTGCTTGGCACTTAGAAAGTGCTTAATTCATGGCCAGGAAGGGAAGGAGGCTGGGAAGTTAAGAAGAAGGCAAAGACAAGACATTGACCTCTTCTGTTGTGCCCAGAGCCAGTCCTGGAAGGGTGATCTCCAGCCACCCCTCTTTTGATGGTGGAAAGGGAGATGGGGAAAGGAGGGGAGGAAGTGTCCTATGAGTAAAACAGGGAGAGGCCATGGTCAGGAAACATGAAAGAAGGAGCAGCTGAGCAGTGGACAGATGCAATGGAGTGTATTCTAGTCCCAAGTCTAACTGTGAACCACTTCCCCTCTCCTGGCCTCAGTTTTCCTAGATGTAAGATGAAAGGGGGTTTGGCTTCTAAGGGTCCTACCTCTTCTCCATCTCTGTGTACCCATGGTGCAAGTCAGAGTAGGAAAAGGAGAGTCACGTGTGGCAGAAATGAATGCAGGTCCAGTCAGTTCAGGACTGGGGCAGTATACACCTTCATTGTCTATGCACACACAGACCCTACGTCATCCTCATCACTCCCCTATAGCCTACAGAAATTTATATACAGCCCTGTTGTGCTACCTGCAACCTTCCCAATTCTGCCCCAAGCTTTGCATCCAGGCTGACCCTCCCTTAACTGCTGGTTCAGAAGGTGGCTCAGTTACTTAATTTGTAAATAAGAACATTGGATTCAATGCCTCTGAGGTCCCTCCCAGCTCTCGAACCCGGTCATCATCAGTGAGCTGGAAGGAAGGAGGAAGGGAGGGAATCAGTCTTTGGGAGGGAAAATCTCAAAATCCCAGGAAGCAAGAGTCACTAAGCTATGGCAGTTTGTTATCAAAGACACCTACCCTGACACTGTCCCCTGGAAGGGCATGACCTCTGCCACTCCTGACTAACCCACAAAGCTTTCTTTTACAAACCTTGGTGCACACATTGAACACCCAAGAGGAAACGACCGAGGCTTTAGGCCTCACACTACCGAGGCCTGCCTCTATTCCCCTTCTCAGATAAGGTGCCTCCTACCAAGGCCAGGTTCTGTTCCCTTCTTAGGTAGGGCACCTCCCAAACTGGGGCCTCCATGGGAGAAATGCCATCTAAGCACACCTCCATCACCACTCCCAATGGCCCAGAAATGCTGGGAAGAGGGAAGGGTAACTCCTACATTGGGCCAGGAATGATGGAAAGTACAGAGATGCCCGTAGGGATGGAGGCGCTGAGGTGGCAGAGATAGGCCACCCGCCCAGGGAGCAAGTCTGCCTGGAGGTGCCACCCCCCAAAGCAACTAGACAATGAGAAAGACTTTGGAGATTTAACACAAACGGGGCCTGGGTCTGGCCCCTTCCCTGGGAAGACACTGGGTGGGAAGAACAAGAAAGGTAGGTAAGAAGAGAAATCATTAGTCATTAGGAAGCTGACTGCTACTGTCTCCAACTCTCCCCCTACCAGGTTGGAATGGAAGCATTATCCCTATCCCCCCATCCTGCTACCCTAGGTCAAGAGAATTCTGCCAAACTTCCCCGACGCCTCAAATCTCCTAAATACCCTAGATCCTTACCCAACAGCTTCATCTCAACCTCCCCCCCCACCCCCTGAGGCCTTCCTGGAAGAGGAGGACATGCCTTCCCCAAACTGTAATCTGAGACTCCAACAAATGCATCTGCCTAGCATCCAGGTAGAGGCTAGCAACTGAGACAGCAGGGAAGAGATGCCACTGAGGTGGAAGGGGACCCCCATTTCTCACTCAGGGACCAGGGGGAGCCCTGTGACTTTCAGCAGAGGGGATATATGACAAGGTAGGCCCTAGCCCCACACTCCCCAGGCAGTAGGGAGCAAATCACACCTTCTGCTTGATGGAGGGAGGGGCCAAGAGCTGGGGTGGAGGGAGAGTTGGAGACCAGAAGGGGCCTCCGTTTGGGGGAGGTCACGGTCCCCCGCTGTACGAATAATCTGCCTTGTTGTGCATAACCAGCTTGTTGTCCACAAAGTAAAAACTGTCCGACTGCGTCTCATAGGGGTGGCGGATCATCTCACTGACTGCAAGAGAACAGACAGGACCGGAGGTTAGGGGCAGCTCAGAGAATGGTTTGTTTGATACAATTCTAGTTAGAAGAGGGCCAGGTGAAACACCAAGAACCCATCCCAAACAAGAGAGAACAGAACACCCTCTGGGCAGAGTGGCAAAGGACTCCCAGGGCAGAACGGCCCCCACACTGGACCATGGCTACGGAGCAAGGCCCCCTTGCTTAAGGCTCCTCTGACAAGGAAGGGCTGGGCTTGGAGGCAGGGTAGTACTCTCAGAAATAACTGTGATGCCAGAAACAAAAGACATCAATTCAACACATATTTTTAAAAAGGGATTAAGTGAGAAATGTATAGCATTGGGTAGTTAGGCCTGTCTCACTACTGACTATCTGTGTGACCCTAGGGAAAAATCACTGACCTGATTTCTGATGCCTGTTTCCCCCCCCCCCCCCCCCCGGGCCTCTCTGTGGGACAGGGGGGGACACACACACACACACACACACACACACACACACACACGAGCATGCCTGCCCATGTGCATCCCATAAACGCACTTAGCTCCTCCGAAAGCGGGGGAAACTCATAGATGTGTTCACAAGTGTTCTTGCTTCTGGGGATGCAGAAACCAAATTCGAAGTCAAAGCTCTTGAGAAGTCGGTTCCGGAAGTAGTGCCTCTCAATCATCCGGAAATTATTGATGGGCTTGTCTCCCACTGTGAACTCCACACTGTGAAAGGATGGGGAGATGGGGAGAGCAGCAGGGTGGAAGGGAGAAGGTGGGAGTCAACATCTGGGGACGGGCTCTTCCCCTGGGGGAGGGAAGGGTTATCTCCTGCTGAGGCCAATCCGAGGGGCGCCTGGGAGCTGGGGCCTGACTGGCCTGGCTTTCTGGAGCTCCTTTAAAGGATGCCCAATACCCAAGTGCCCTTGGAGACGGTCTTCCTCTGGAAGGCAGGGCATGGGTCAGGGGCCTCCCCAATCACAGCCCGATCCCACCCCCCGATTTCCCAGTAACTCACGTGGCTCCAACCTGCCGCAGGCGGAGGAAGGCTGGGGTGAACTGGTAGCGGACAAAGCGGCCGGCATTGGGGTCCACGTCCCGCTTTTCGCTAAGGTCCCTCTCTGCAACGGCGGACCCCCACCACCCCAGGGTCCTGGGGTGAATAGCTGGCAAACCAGCACCCGCCCTCCCTGAGCACAGCTCTCCAGGGTTTCCCTCACGCCCAGCTTAGCCTTCCCTTCGCTTCCCGAGTAGTCAGTGCCCTTGACACTTGAGGTTCAGCATAATACCACCTGAGGGAGGCCCAGGCTTCCCCACTGTCTCTGCTCCAAAACACACACACACTCACTCACACACACACACACACACACACACACACTCACACATATACTTACACACACCTCTCACATATTCACACACTCCCACATACACATATACATACTCTTACACCTCTCACACACACTCACACATATATACACTCTTACACACATAAACCTACTCTTACACACATACTTGCTCATTCACACACACATTTACTTACATTCAAAACACATACCCTCTCACAAACATACCTCACATACTCTTATACACATACTCACACACTTGCATATACACACTCACACACATTCACATATACACTCTCACATAAACACTCTCACACCTCTCACAAACACACATATACTAACACTCTCACATACACACTCATACACATATATACATATATACTCACTCCCACATACACTGGCACACACATAAACACTCTTACACACATTCACTCACACCTCTCATTCACATACACTTACACATACTCTCACACACACAAACAAAACCTTCTTACACATACTCACATACACATTCTCACACCTCTCACATAAACACACACTCAGACACACTCACACACACAGTCACACTCTTCCTCTCTCTGTCACACACACACACACACACACACACACACCTCACATCCTTCCTCTTATCTGAAAGCAGTGGTTGATCTCCCCACCCTCCAAAATCAACCAGCTCCTAGTGTCTCCCACTCCTAAGCCCGGCTCTGTCCAGAACACCATCCTCCCTCACTCCTCACTCCCAGTGATTTTTGAGCAAAGGGAAAAAAAAAGGCCAAGGCCCCAGTCCTGTCTCTCCCTGGCTCACAGGCTCCTGGGAACATAGTTTATCAAACAACAACATATGCCTACTATCTGACCAGCACTGTGCTAGGTTATGGAGGATTATACAGACTCCCAAAATTTAGCTGTGGAAAGGACTCATTTCACGGATAAGAAACCTGAGGCCCAGAGAGAGCTTAAGTGACTTATCCAAGGTCTCACAGATAACAAGTGATGGCGCTAGGGATACAAAGACAAAATAGGGGTAGCTAGGTGGCACAGTGGATAAAGCACCGGCCCTAAAGTCGGGAGCACCTGAGTTCAAATTCAGCCTCCGACCAAAAACTTAACACTTGCTAGCTGTGTGACCCTGGGCAAGTCACTTAACCCCAATTGCCTAAAAAACAGCAACAACCCAAAAAAAGACAAAATGAAGGCTCAATTCACTTCTATTCTATCAGATGCAGGGGGATGGACAGCATGACCTCCCGAGGTCTTCCCTGGCCTCTATCTGAATTCTTACTCTTCTGGGGTAGTCAGTTCAGCTGCAAGCACAGCCAGGCACACGGGAGGAGTTTAATAAATGCTCATTGATTGATTAGTGATCACAGTCAGTAAGAACTTGGGGAAGGATGTGCTGGCCTAGGAGTCGGGAGAACTGGACGGCAGCCGCCATCTACCAGCTGTGAGACCTTGGGTGTGTTTCCCACGAAGGAGGAATTCCCAGCAGGTGAATCTGCACCACCATACTAACCCCGTTTCCAATCCAGCCTGCTCCTCACCTGAAGTAGCGGGCTTGCTGATCTCAAAAAGGACTGTGCCTGACTCCATGTCCCGAATCTTGAACCTGGTGAAATCAATCTTATAGACATTCTCCTCCGGAGAGCAGAGGTAATCTGCGGCAGGGAAGGGGAAAGGGGAGGGAGATGATGGCCCATCAGACCAGAGAGGTTGGTGGAAAGTTCCTTGGTCTTCGGTGTATGGAGTCTCCGAGTGGCCCTGGGCGAGTCACCTCTCTCCCTGGAGGGTATGAAGCTACTACCGTCTGTCCAGAGAAGCCATAACCCAAAGGGAGGAGACTCACAGCATCAGACCAGGAAGCGACCTCAGAGACCTTCTGGTCCTGAGGAGGAAACTGAGGCTCAAGGGGGTAAAAAATCTTAAGCTAAGCTGGAAGGGACCTCTGGGAGCACCCCTCATTTTACAGAGGAGGAATACTCTGTTCTAAGATCCTTCCAGCACTGACATTCAATTCCGACATTCGATGTACTAAGGCCCCTTCCAGCACTGCAATTCTGCATTCTAAAACCCCTAAAATTCTGTGTTCCAAGGGTAGGCACAGAAGAAGCCCAGCCCCCATCCTCAGGGACCCTTGGGTCTGATGAATGGGAGCTCTGGGCTCCCCAAGGGAAGAGATACACAGCCCACCTGCCCTTGGGGAGCTCCCAATCTCAGAGATAACACACCAGAGAAATCGGCAAACAGCTCCCACACTTTAAAGACAAGCACCTACCTCCCTCTGTGGCTGTGCAGCTGATGGGGCGGAGGCGGAGGGGGGGATGTAGGGGTGGCCAGAAGCAAAGGGAAGGAAATAAGCATTGATCGCGAGATCATGTGCCGGGCACTGTGCTAAGCACTCAATAAATATCTCACCTGAAGGAGGTGGGAGACTAGGTCCATCCTCCTGAAAAGGCCAAATCTGAACCAGCTTTAGTGAAAGGGGGCTGGAGAAGGAGGGGGGGAAGGCGCAATCTGAGTGAAGACCAGGAGACATATGGGAGCTAAGTCATTAAAGGGACAAGACATCTGTGGGGCCTTGGGAAGGTCTGAAAACCCCCAGTCATTCCTGCTTGAAAAGCTGAGCCTCAACTTAAAATGGATGAAATAGAGAAATAAATACTTCTGAGTAGGATTTTCTGACATTTGAAATACTTGCCTTTATCTATACACATGCATATACATACATATACATACATAAATATGTATGCATGCACACACATATATATATGCACATGTGTATAAAACAACATAATATATTGTATGCATATATAATATAAAATATACATATTTTGTATATGTAAATGCAAGTATTTTTAATGCTGAAAAATTCTGCTCAGAGGTATTTCTTTCTCTCCAAGTAAATAATTATGTATATATATTTTAAGTCATATGAAAAAGGGTCACTCCCTGGCAGTCCCCCTCTACCCCAGGCAGCTGCCTGCCTTGACTCTCCATAGCCCTGACTCGGTTAGCTATTCAAACCTTGCCCTTTTCTCTTCCCAATAGGAAGGGAGGATGAAGTCCCCAACCCAGATCCCCCTCGAGCCCTCCCCCCCACACACACACACCCACACACAAAATCTCTCCTGTGCCCTGAATCATCAGTCCCTGGTCCTCCCCTCATAAGAGGCTTAGCCATCCCCTGGGCCAACATAAGCAGATTACCAGGAGCTATCAGCTGACTGAATGTAACTAGAACACAGGAATATGGGGGGGGGGGGCAGGGAAGCCCGGCTCAGAGCCCTCAGGCCCCATCCTCAGGCACCCCTCCACCCTCCTCCAGCCCAGCTCCAAATCTACTCAGTGCTGGAGACCCGTGAAAATATTCCTTATCCCTAGCCAGGCCCTGTGCCCTGAGGCAGGAAGGTAACTCTAGGCCCTTGCTTTCAGACAGCTCTGCTCTCAAACCTTTGTGGTCAGCTCTGGTCTAGTTTTAATCCCCCTTGCTGCAGTTCTAGGGTGACCAAGTTTCTGGTCCAATTCTACAGGCTGATGGAGACTGGGCCAGAAAGGCGTAGATACTTTAACCACCAACACCCCTCAAAAAACCCCAACCCTGCCTGTCCTCCCTCAGGGCTACCTGATCCTCTCCTTCCTCCGGACAAGGTGGGGAGAGGACCTGGAGGGGGGGGCGGCAGGGTGAGAGGCCCAGGGGGACCCTCGAAGGGTCCCCAAGTGTGAATGGCTGTGACAAACAGGAAGACAGAGTCATTAGAGAGCCACTTAGGGCAATAAGGAAGTACCACAAGAAGGAGTGGCCGCTTAGGACAACAGCTCTGCTCAGGAAGGGAGGGAAGGGTGGAAAGAAATTGTAGCGGGCCCTGAGAATAACCCCACTCAGATGGGAGGGCGGGCCTGAAGCAGACACTACAAAAACCAAGCCTGAGTCTCCCTCAGACTTGTCCCCCAACCTCTGAGTCCTTCGAAAGGCAGGTTCTCGTGAGAACTGCCACCACACCCACCCCCATCCTCAAGCCTCTTTCTGCCTCATCCCTACCTTGGCCTTCCTGAAGCCTCCAAGAATATGAGGGAAACACTGTCTCCCCTTCCCAGGGGTAGGACCAGGCAGAGGGCCCTGGAGTCCCCCATTCTCAGCCTTGTCTTCTCTCTCTGAGAAGAGATTTGCTTCTTCCCAGTCCCAGCAAACTGGTCAAGGCTGACCCTTCTCTCCCAAGGAGAAGCCAGGGCACTACAGCCTCAGATATCTCACTGTAATGTCCTTGGGCAAGTCATTTCCTATTTCTGGGCCTCCTTCTTCTCCTTAGTAAAATGAGGGGGTCAGGACAAAAAGTTCAGGTCTAAGATTCTCTGGAACGATGACGGCTCTCCCGCTATCTCCCTCCGAGTTGGGTCCCATAAAAAATCACAAAGTTTTATTAAGCCTTGGAAGGAACCTCAAAGACCCCTGCTTCTCCCAGCCCCTCCCCTAGGTCTGAGCCCCTTTTAGAAGGATTACACTAGTCCCAAGAGGCCCTCAGGTGCTGTGGGCCAAAAAACCAGGTATGTGTCCCTCCTTTCCTGCCTCCCTCCAATCCCTGCTCTCTGGGGGGGGGGGGGGGGGGAGAAGGTCAAGCGGTAACTATGGTGTCAGAAGACTGGGGAAAGATCTAGGGGTGGAGGTGCTTGGGGCCACTTCAAAAATGACAGACAAATGACCTAAAGGGGAATGGGGGGAATTGGAGGGAGAGATTTCCACACTTTCCCCTAAGGTAGGTTGCTTAGGTCACAAATGCTTCCTCTCCTCTCCTCCTCCCCAACCCCCCAGCTAAGAGCTCAAGTCCCAGGACAATCCTGGAACAGCTGGTGTCAGCATCGAGGTGGAGGGGGGAGGATCTCATGAATCTCTGGGAGACTGGGGGAAGGGGGAGGCGTGGAGGCAGCAAGGGACAAAACTGAAGGACAGGGGCAGAGCCTCACTGGCTGTCTGTTCGTTCTCCAGATGGGACCATAGGGACCTGGAATGGAAGGAAGGAAGGTAGTCTGGGAGGGATAGATGGATGAGCTGACTGAAAAAGAGGGAGGAGGGCAGAGGGCAGAGGACAGGAGCAGGGTCCCACTGGTTTGTTTGGGTTTGGGGCTTTTTGGTTTTGCATTTTCTTTTCTTCTTTTTTGGATAAGACTGAGGTGGGGCTGGAGACTGAGGTTAGGTCAGCTACACTAAGAGAGACAAGAACGAGGTCTTCTTGAAAGAAGAAGGGCTGTTTTGCTGACCTGAGTTCAAATCTTAGCTATTCCACTTAAAGCCTGTGTGACTTTGGACGAATCCCTTAATTTCTCCGGACCACAGTAGCTTCATCTGTAAAATAAGGGGGTTGGAGAAACCCATGCCTAATGTCTGTCACGGTGATTCTCTGATTCTACGACATTGACTTCAGCTAGCGGCAAAGAAGGTAAAGCGGGCTGAAAGTGAGTGAGGGACTGAGGTCAGACCCAGAGAAGGACATCCTGTTGTTCCATTTCTGCCTTTGTAGCCCCATGCCCCATCATGGTGCCCGGAACATAGGAGGCATTTAGTACATGCTGAATGAATGAATGAGCGGTGAGACTTTGGAATGAGGCAGCCAAGAAGGCTGCGGCTCCCTTTCCCATACATCAAAGTCAATCCGGCCTCAAGGAGGAGCTAGGTCCTGGTGCCCCATCCTTGAGCTGATGAGGCAAGACAGAGGCTGGAGTCCAACCAGACAAGGCTAGGAGAGAGGCAAGGAAGTGAGGGGGAGGAATGCAAGACAAGATGGGAGACCTTAAGGCTCCATAAACCCAAACATAGTAGCTGCTCCAAGGATCCTCAAAGCCTTCTCCATGGGAAGTCCCTCCTTAGAGCTAACCTGCATTCTGCTCATGGCAGCTTCAACTTCCTCTCCAACCCAGTCACAGAAGGTCCCTTTCCATTAGATTATGAGCTCTTTGAGGGCAGGGGCTATCTTTTGCCTTCCTTTGTATCCCCAGTGCTTAGTACAGTGCCTGGCACATAAAGGGGATTAGTAAATGCCTACTGATTGATCTTTCTCCCTGGTCCTACCACACCCAGCACTATACACACATTTTCCTGTTCCTTCTCAATCTGGATCGGAATACCCAGTGTCCCAGGGGAAGGGCCCAGCCTAGGCAGGCCCCTCCTCCTGTGTTGGGCCCCAACCCCAGGGTAAGGCACAAAATGAGGAAGGACAACCAGGCCCAGGGAGATGAAGGAGGAAGGGGTCTACTCTGGCTTAGGGGAGGACCAGACCTGATTGCTTAGGGAAGGAAAGAGAAGAATCCTTGGATTCTTCTACCCTACCCTCTACTCGGACACTGTGTGACCCAAAAACCGACCCAATTTGCCCTCCTTTCCCAAGCCAAGGAGGTCAAGACAGGGGCCTGTGTGACAACTCCAGGGTTCCATAGCCTCGGGCCCTTGCAGAGGGGCCCAGGGCCAAAGCTTGCTCCCACCCAGGGTGCTCAGGAACTCCAGCTTCCCTGGCTGTAATGAAAGACCTTTCCTCTCCACCCTGGATGGTGAGGCAAGGTGTGGGAGCACAGAGGTGTCCCATCCCCCCCTTACAGGGAGTCAGCTCCCTGTCTCCCCCTTCCCACAGGGCTCTCTGACTCGTGACCTCATCTGGGCCCTCATTTTGGCCCTTAGCAAAGACCGCCTAGTGACATGCCCTGTACCAACCGTTATGTAACCTTTAATGTGTGTGAGCTGTCTCGCCAACTAGGCTGGGAGCTCCTTAAGCTGTGAGATTGCCTTACATACCTAGGCATCCCTGTACACAGTAGCACTCTCTCTTTTGATTATGGACAGACTCACTGTCTCAATTCTTCTTCCAGATATCAGGATCTTGGGGAGGCAGGACAGGGGCATTCTATAATACCTAGCTCCAGGACCCAGAATTTCCTGATGGTAAGAAACAGAGCCAGCCAACTCAACAAATGCCTGGTGGCAGCAAGCAGGGGGCTACACCTTAGATCCCCCCCTAGCCTTCGGTCTCCAGAGACAGCATCAAAGTTAGGTAGAAACACCCCTAAATGCCCCTCTAGGGATGAGAAGATGACAGGGAATGCTTGGGCATAAGCAGCCCCTGTCTTCCCACAAAAAGGTTATATGTCATCGTGAGGTGCTCTCTTGGGCTGGGGGCACTGGGCCACTGGCTTAAGACAGAGATTAGTGTTCAGGGTCACTTCGTTGACCTCAATTCATAACAAGCAGATCAGAGACTGCTCCTGGGGCTGGGAGGAGGGGAGCGTACCCGGAGGGTCCAGCCAGCCCAGTCCCCAACTGGATGCCCCTGGCCATGCTCCTAGCAAGAACCGGTACTAAGCCCTACATTTACCCCAAAATGCTTCCCCTCCATACCCAGTGCTAATGGCCAGGCGTTTTTAGTGAGAGGCCACTCGGCAGGTACTGGGCCCTCCTTGAAAGTCTAGGTCTGATCTAGAACCTTACTGGAGAACCTAGCTAATCCACCCCATAGCACAGAGGGAGCAAGGAAAGACGACTACCCTCGCTGCCTTGCCCCGTTTAGTCTAAGGGGAAATGGGGGTAGGGGACGTGCCCGAGGCTCTCCGCAATTTAAGAGCTATTTTCATAATGACTAAAAGGCAGCTCACTGAAGGGAGAAAGGGGATGACAAGGAAGGTTGGGGTCTCGAGGTGGACAGGAAGGGTGGGGCGCAGGGAGCAGAGGAGACGATGGAGGGGCGCGGCTAGAGCACACAGACCGGGGTGGAGATGATGGGGCTGGGGACAGGGGAGGTTCGCACAGAGGACAACGTCCAGGAGTCTCCCTGGGGCCGCATCCCTCCTCCCCAGCCCCAGCCTCAGCCCCGACCCCACTCCCCGAAGCCCCCCACTCCTCCCTCACCGCACGTGATGCGCTGTAGCCCCAGCACATCTTCGGGCCCGATCAGCGCCTTCCTCCGCAGCGCCTGGGGCTCCGGCTCCGATTCCGGCTCGTCGTCCTTGGAGCCCGCGGCCCCGGGCCCGGGGTCCGACCCAGCCGTGGCCCCGGCCCCGCCGCCACCCTTCTTCACCTTCATAGCCCTGTTCCTGGCCCCCGGCTGCCCCTCGCACCGCCGCGGCCGTCCGGCGCCCGCACAGCGGGGAAGGGGAGGCAGCACGATCTGCCCAGGTCTGTCCGGCCCAGCCTGGCCTCTCTACTTCCCCTCCCCACCCACCCTCCCCCCGCGGTTCCTGGGCCGCCCCCTGCTCCTGGCCCCACCCCGCCCCAGGTACCTGCTCTCTGCTCCACCCCTAGGCCCGCCTAGCTGCGCGCCCCTGGACCTACATCCCCAGCCTTCCTCCCACGGCGCTTCTTCCTTCACATGCCCTGCGCCCGTCCCTTCTCCCCACCCCCAGACCTATTCCCGAGTCCCCCTCCCCCCACTTCTCCGCTTCACCCCGAACGCGCAGGGAACACCTCTCCCCCAGTGCCAGCCTCAGTGGGAGGGGAGAGGACAGTCCATTTGGGAAAGCAGATGGCTCAAAATAACGTTCAGAGCTGGCACCGGGGCCTGGCCGTGTGTGGGCGGAGGGTGAGGACCATTTTGGGCAGGATCCCTCCCTAAAGGGGAACAAAGGGATCTCTGAAATCCTGTCCCAACCGGCTTGTAGGCCCCCAAGGGGCGCCTCTCATCTGGTGTCCGGACTCCGACCACCCCCAGGAAGTCAGGCTCCAGATCTGCAACCTCGGCTGCCCGTGCCCCACTCCAGAAAAAGGGATAGGGGAGAGACTGAAGGGGTGGGGTTGGGGAGGGGGTAGCGGTGAAACTAGCTCTGAGGACCCAGTTCAACCAACTGAAAGGGATGGGGGAGGGAACAGGGAACCCAAAGGCCAGATGGCATTGTTTGGGCAGTGCCAGCTCTGGGAGCAGGGAAAGGAAGTTGCAAAGGCCAGAGCCGTAGAGGCCAATTTCCCTTCTTCACAGGCTAGGAGGCTGAGGCTCAGGTCCACCTGCTGTGCTAGACAGCAGTGGGCAAGGGGAAGGCCAGTGAAAAAGGCTGCCAAACTGTTGCAAGCCTTCTGACAGGGACATCTAGGGCCTTCCACCACTCCCAAGGGAGGAAAAGAGCCCCAACTGGGCAAGGCCAAGCGATTCCAGGGCCCGCAGCTAGTGATGCCTTAGCCATCTGTAAGGAGGCTGGGAGGGGGTAGTGATTTCATGGGAGAACCAGGGCTCAGCTGTCACTGCTAAGGCACCACCAGCAAACGTTGGTCCTTTTCTGCCTGGAACATTCCATCCCAGGGTTCTTCCAGCAAAGCAATGCCAGAGGGTCTCCCACTCTGCACACTTAAGCTGGCTTCCTCCAAGCAGAGCCTTTCTCTGTCCAAGTTTGCAGAGGCACATGAATCAATCCCCCCATAGCAGTGTGCCACCATTTTGTACCCCAAGTCTCAGCTTAGAGCTTACAGTTTAAACCAAAGAGTGAATAAAACACAGGCAAATCACGGAGGGCCAGATGACCCTAAGACTTTTATTTCCTTTTCAGTTTCCTCCCTTTCTTTCCCTTTACCCTCCCATCCCACCAACTAGGCTGATCCCTTAAGAGAGAACTAAATGCAAGAGGCCCCAGGACAGAGGACTTCTTGGAGGGCCTTCCCTTTGCCCACCCAACCTCCCACCCACCCACCCACCCGCCTACCCACTGGAAGGCCTGGCCTCTAACCAAAGGATCTTCAGGGTGAGGGCACAAAGGATACAGAAGAATGAGGGTTCTCCAAGACAGGACCAGACCATTCCCGGGAGCAATAATTCATCTGCTCTCCAAGCTACCATCCCACCCAACCTCAGCTTTCATAAAGAGGGAACCCTTTGCCCCCATTCTCTGGCCTTTGCACACTCAGTCCACCTTTTCCATATCCTTCCTGGCTTTTTGGTTCTCCACAATAATCTTGATCATGGACAGGAAAATGGGCACTGCCATGGGCAGGAAGAGGGGAATATAGATGGCAAACTTCTGGTCGTCAGGAAAGTAGAGGAGGTGAAGAAGGGAGGGATCAAAGAAGGCCTTTTCTGAGGACGTCACTGCCTCCCGGCTGGCACGGAAAGCAACCTCCAGGTTGCCAGCGGACAGTTCCAGCGCTGCCTCCTGGAATGCATCCATTGCCCGGTACACCTGGGCAGAAGACACCAATCAGTTCTGGGGCCTAAGGTAGGCCCAGGGAGGGGGAGAGATGGCGCTTTGGTGGCTTCATGCCACCGATGGACTGGGCCGCTTTGTGAAACACTTAAAAGCCACCTAAGCCACGAAGGGGAAGGGTGCTCCCATGAACTACTACGAGCTCTTCCAGGTATCACCAGGACTCACTGGGAAGCTACCAACGCCATGTGCACAGCAACGTGCAGACACTGCGTAATCATCATAGGACCCACAAGGTTAGAGGCTCCAATTCAATGGGTCCTTCCCCATCCTACATCTGACAAACTTCCACCCTGGGCTCTCCAATCCCTTGAGTCAGATGCCATCTGCTAAGCTGAAAGTCAGTCCCCGCTTTCCAGGACTCTCAACTCTACCACCGTGGCCCATATCCTCCTCCCTCCACCCTGCCACTCAGGAAAATGGTTACAAGTAGACCCTGTCATCACACACACACATGCGCGCACGCACCAAGAGGACCGCACTTACCGGAGTAAGTATTTCTCATTGCCACTCCCTCCACCACCATCCCCCTTTGAGGTTCACTCAACCCTTCTAAGTCACTTTGACCACATCCTTGTTCCTGTAGGCCACCCGTCTTCAAGCTATACTCTGTCCTTTCTCAAGGGATTCAACCCTGGTCCACAGTCACCATCTCCACCCCAAGCCCTGCACCCATACTTGGGGACTTTAATATACATGCTGATGTTCCCTCAGGCATCCAGGATCTTCAGTGCAGGAGAGATTAGAGAGACATCAAAGAAGGAGCAGGACAAAACCTTCAGAGATGCCCATAATTAGTGTGTGGGAGCAAAGGGGACTAAGCAGGGCTTAGGAAGCAACCTCACCTCCCCACATTCAGCATCCTTTCAATGTTGCTGCTCAGAGGGGTGCTCACACTTTAAACCGCGCCATCGTCCATAATGGTGCCAACACCACGGCCAACTCTAATTCCAATTCCCGACGATAACTCCCCATCCTTCCATCTCCCTCTGCTTCAATCCGCCTACGTCTCCCGTCCATCTTTATTTTGATCTTCAATGCCTTCATCCATCCCTGTCCTCCAAATTCACCCCCGTGCTTGGGTCTCCCTTCTCTCCCCTTAATGTCTTCCCCTAGAGACACCAGTTCAGCTGGGGACCATCCTCAATCACTGATGGCCACTGACAGGCGTCTCTTAAGGTTTTGTCCTGGACCCTCTTTTCTTGTGTCATTCAAGGGTCCCTGGTGATCTCCTCAGCTCGCATAGGTTCAATTATCATACCTATATGACGACTCCCAAGTTACCAATCCAGTACTAAGCTGCTCCCTTCATCTCTAGCCCTGCTCCACACTCTGTCCAGGGTGCTGCCATCCTCTTCCATAAACCCCATTCCCCCGACTTGGTCCTGTAGATTCTGTTCCTTCACCTCTTTCCCCGCCCCTCTGGGACCACCCTGCTCCTTCAGGCTCTCACCCATCACCCCTCTGCTAGACACTGTCACCACTTCCTCAGTGGCATCCTCCCCTCTCTGCCCCATGCATACCATTCCTCCATTTTGGAATGTGCAGAAGAAAAATCTGCAATGAACTGTTCCAACCTCTGACACTAGCGCTCTGGGCACAGACCCCAAGGAAGCCAGAGACAGCCGGTGACGGCTGCATCAGCCAAGAGGCCTAGGAAGACTTTGTGGTAGTGAAAACCTGGAAACCATGTGGATGCCTCAAAAACGTGGCACGTGAACGGGATGGAATGTTACTGCCCTGGGAGGAGGGAGGAGGGAGGAGGAAGAGGAGGAATAATGCTGGTAGCTGACATCTCTACAATGTTTCAAGGTTTACAAAGAACTTAACGCATTCTCTCCTTTGATCCTAACAATCCTATGACCAGGGGCTATTATTACTTCCATTTTACAGATGAGCAAACTGAGTTTGAGTGGGGTTCAGTCACTTGCCTGGAGCCCCGTCTTGCCCACGCTCCACTATGCTCACGGACTAGGAGAACGGAGAATTCAGAGAATCGGGGAGACCTGTACCACAGCTAGAGAGTGAAGTCAGTAGGACCTGGAGAACAGGAGCCCAGCCCACCCTGACCAACGCTGATGTCGGCTCATCTGGACAGGGCGATTGTGGGGGGAAGCAGCATACACAGCTGACTGATGTCAAGAACAAGAGTGCTGGCTCTGTAGTCTGGAGGCCTGGGTTCAAGTCCTACCTCCAGCATTTACCGATCTACTCTCGGGTGGTCACGTCCCCTCCCTGGGCCTGTTTCCTCCTCCGTTAAATGTAGGAGTTGGACTGGATGGCCTCTGAGGTCAGTTCGAACTCTACATCTAGGATCCTGCTCTTCTCAACTACCTGCTGTGGCTCCCTGTGGCCGCCGTGATAAAACACCAGCCTGGCACCCGAGGGCCTCCACCACCGCCTCTAAACTACCTTTGCAGCCTTACTCCCATAACACCCGCCCAAGTGCTCTACACTGCAGCCTGCCCAGAGCACCCCAATCTCACCTTCGTGCATCTGCACAAACCACACCCCCAGGCCTGGCCCGGCTTCCTCCTCCAGGCCTCGAAGAAGACTTCCTATATTTTTATTCGAGCCAGGGAGCGGCAGCCCAGCGGAGGACAGGCGCCAGTCCTTTCCTAGCCTTGCATCCCTGACACGCAGCACAGTGCTGGAGCCGCGGGAGTCTGGCAAACGCTCGCTGAGCAGTCAGACGGCAGGAGTGTTTGCCCGCACACACACACACACACCTCTGAGGCCACGTCGTCCTTGATAACAATGTTGCCGATCTTGTCCAGCAACTCGGCGAGGGAGGTCAGAGTAGTGATGACCGTAGCCAGGTTCTCCACGGCCCGGGCCCACACCAGCCTGTCCAGCTCCCAGTACCTCAGCCCTTCACTCGGAGGGCTTCCCAGAAGGAAGTTTTCTGGCATCTGAGGGTGGGGGACCCCAAACAGTAACCTGAAAAACAGGGGGAGGAGAGGAACAGGTAGGGTCAGGTGGCGGGTGAGAGCAAAACGCCCAGAGAGCTGGGCCCTGGTACATGAAGGGTCTGACCTTTGCTGAGGGCATTAAGGGAAGATGCAGTGGCTGCCAAAAGATTATAGACATGCCCAAATACCCCCAAGACCACACACCGCGTCCTCCACGAAGCACTGTCAGGCGCACGTGCCTCCCCCCAAGCAGTAAATGTTCCTTATCCCCACCCCCAGCCCTTTGGACCTTCCTTACGGCACGTGGCTCGTCCGCTTTGTGCCAGCTTTCTGTCTTGACTCATTTCAATAGACTACCCATGGTCCCCAAGGGCAAGCACCATGTCTAATGCATCTCGTGCACTCCCGCTCCCTGCAGGGGTCAGCCCTACAATACATACCATGGGTGCTCAGCAGTTGTTTGCTAAACCTGAAGCAGAAAGGGAGGGTGGTGGACTGGCCAGCCAGGAGGATAGGGCCTCTGTGGCACTTAGATGTGGACAAGCTGCTAAGCCCTCAGCACGGGAGGAAGCGCGCTCTGGTTCTAATGCTGCCCCTGACGTACATTAGAAGAGGCTGATCCCCCGCAGCAGCTGCGTACACCAGTGACCTCCCAGAGCCCAGAGCCCACCTTTATCCCCAGCCCTTCCTGAAGCCAGCCCCTATTTCTTGGTTAGCACTGCTCTTCCAAGAAAAAGGAAGGACTCTTATCTTTAGAGAGCTTTCTGGTGAGATCAGAAGCCAAAGGGTACCACAAATTGCCTTCTGACACCGAGCCTGCCCCTCACCTCGCGCTCTCAGAGGTCTGAGCATAAAACGCTCCCCACAGGGTGACAGGTAGAAGCATCAGAACTGTAAGAGCTGATGTCTGTCCCCCACCCCCTTCTACCACCCAGGACTGGGGGCACCAGGGCCCTCACCGCATCTGGGACAGGAACACCTCCATCACCGGGACCATGTCCACATTGACCTTCACAGGGTACCTCGTGGTATTGTAGGCACTGGGGTCGACGTTGTACACCTGGAGAGAGGAAGTCAAGGTCACCCCACGCTGGCAGAACTCATGCTAGGACACTAGGGGCGATGACAACAATGACCAATCTGGGGTCTCAGAGAAGAGATGGGGAAAGATGCCCCCGCTTTGGCTGGAGAGGCCTGGGGGGCGGCAACTGCAGGTGCAGAATGTGCCCGGGCCGTCAGATATGGCTGACATAGCCCCCAAGGTGCTCAAAGGCCCCTCTTTGTCACAAGGGAAGGCGCACCACGGGCAAGGGGTAGGTCCTGAATGATGGCAAACGACAAAAAAGCATCGACAAAACATTCACAAAGAAGAAAAAGACGGCAGCCCTGTGCTCCAAGCCCTGCCCCCAGGGAGGCCCCACGCCAAGGAAAGCCCCAGACAAAGCCCGTGGCCAGGGAAGCCGCGGGCAGGACACTCCTCCCGCTCCCAGGGAGCAGGGGAAGGATCCCTTACCATGATGCCACCCCAACGGGGGCTATGGAAAGCATTGGTGGTCACTCGGGCCCCATCCTTGTCCTGGATATACAGCGGGGAGTGGGCACGCTCAGGCACATACAGGAGGAAGTTGATCACTGGGTAGAGGGAGGCAGCTCTGGATCCTGGAGCAGAAAGTGGCCAAGGAGGACACCCGAGGCTGCTCTGAGCCGCGCCCCGTGCTGCGGCCCCAGAAACCGCTGTTGTCCCCGAGTGCCCCTCACTATGCAATCTCAGCTCTCCCACCAACTCTTCCAGGATGAAGCTGAAGCTTCCCTGGCCCTGCCTTGGCTGGGCTTGTGACCCCACAGCCAGCACCTCACGAGCATAAACACTCACATGGCCCCAGGCTCTGAAACCCCCAGTCCCTCCAAGATTCATTTCTTTCCCACTCCCCTCCTCCCGATGGGCCTGCACAGAGGGTGCACCTGAAGTCACAAACACCTCAACATAAAGGAGTTATCAGATGCTTTCCTGCGGAGGGAAATGGTGACCACAAGCTTTGTGGACCCGGGGGCACAACGTTCGAATTCTGCCCAAGCTGCTTAGCAGCTATCTCCCTCAGCTTCTTCCTCTCTGCCCAGTTTTCCTCTATGACCACTCCTCCAAGCCCCCTGCTAAGGTGTGAAAGGTGTGATCCATGGGTCTCCCTGCTGCTCCTAGACTGGGGTCCCCTCTCTCATGCCTGCTGCCCCGTGTTCTCTCGTGGCTCTGGATCCCACTCTCTAATCTAGACCAGAGTCCCACCTTGGCAGAGATCAGACCCGGGCACCACTTCTTACAACATGCCTCAATGGTGGGGGATGATGGCTTTGGGGGATCCATCGTCATCTCTGTCCAGGAGACACCCAGGCCTCATCTCCGGCCGTCCTGAGGCCCGAGGCGGCACCCTCACCTGCCCACTGCAGACTCACTCATCCAGAGCAGAAGCCCCTGTCATCCCCCCAAGCCCACCTGTCATCTGCATTTCTCATTTCTGTCCCCACCCCAGGTCCACAAGCTCAGTCATTCTCAACTCCTCATATCCCTCGACCCTGTCAACCAATCGCTCGCCAGATCGCGGCCCCTCTGAAATATCCACATCGTCCTTTCTGCTCATCCCAGAACCCAGCCCAGCCCAGCTCTCCCATCTGATCCTAATGGGCCTCCTTACATCAAGCCCCTCCTTCCACTTGCATCCTCCTCCACACAGCTCCAGAGTAACATTCCTAAAGCACCCCTCTGACCCAGTCACACCCTGCTCAAGAAACTCTGCCTCTGGGCTAACATCCAAGCCGCCCTGCCTTCACAACCTGGCTCAAGCCTACCTTTCTAGGGCTCTACATTACTCCTCTTCACACACTCTGGTTCAGCCAAGCTAGCCTTCCTGCTCTTCCTCACACACAACCCTCTATCTCCCATCGCCACACTTTTGCACAGGTAGTGTCCTATGCCAGGAATCCAGTCCCCTTTGCTTGAAGAATCCCTCGTTTTCCTCAAAGAATAGCTCGAATACCTCCTCCCACAGAGGGCCCTGCTTGATTCCCCACCTCTACCCCCCACGTTGCTGCTGCTTTCCCAGCAAGATTCCCTTATGTTTATTTTGTACTGACTTAGTAGCATACACGTTATCTCCCCCCACAGAATGTTAGTTCTTTGAGGACAGGGAGCATTTCATTTTCATTTCTATATGGTGGAGATGGGGAGCCTAAAACAGTCTGCACATGGCAGGGACCCATGTGACTGATGAGAGTGACAGCCTGGGAATACTACCTCCTCCCTACGCCAGGCCGAACAGGGACCTGACCCTCAGCCCCCCAGCAGCCTTCAGAATCACCCCTCCATCCCTTTCCCCATCATCAAGCACGCACACGCATACCAACACAGAGAGGCTACTTTGTAAGCCCCTCCTTCGCCATCACCACACACACATGAGTACACACACACACATGCACATTCACATTTGCACACGTGAGCACTCGCGTGCACACGCGCGCACATACACACACACACACGGTCTCCCTCCTTCCCCATCACCCCCACCCCCATGGAGGGTTTGTTTACCCAAACGGGCCTCCACAGGGTTGATGACGTGAGGGAGGCTGTGAGCAGCCAGCGTGTAGCTGGAAGTGGCCGCGTCAAAGCGGGGAGTCACACCAAGCATGGCGTAGTACAGGACCTGGGGGAAGCAGAGGGGCCAGCTGGTTAACAAGGACGACCACCATCTCCCCTGAAGGAAGCCTCAGCTGGCCAGCCCCTTCCCCAGTGCTCCTCACCTGAGAGTCCATGGAGAAATTGCCGATGGCACTGAGCAGAGACATGAAGGGCTGCACGTAATTCTCCACTGCCCCCTCTATGTCCCAGTGGACTTCATGGGACTTGGGATCAGGGTTCAATAAACTGAAGGTGATCTCGTAGCCTACAGAAGAAGAGGAGTCAGGGAGGTCACGAAACCCCAGGACTGGGCAAAAGGAACCAAGAGAGGGAGGAGGCAGATGGGATCCCGACTTCTCCCAAAGGAAGAGGCCTTGTCTCCATCAGCACCGGGAGAGCTCAACATTAATCAGGGACCCCACAGCACCTACATCCCTTCCCGTTCTGAGATTCTGTGATGCCCATTCCACCACGGGCACAAAGCCAGGACCCTCTGGACCTCTGTTTTGCCTGCCCTGCCTCACTCACGGGCAGCCTGGCAAGAAAGGACCTCCCTCAGTCACCTACCCAGGCTAGACTTGAGGGGCCGCCTCTTGTCCAAGTTCAGTTTGTCCTCTGGAAGGCGGTCACCCAGGGCAGAAGCGAGCACCTCTTCCGTCAGCGACATGGCCTGGGCCACCTGCAGTATCTTCTGGCCAATCACTGTCAAGGCCTGCCGACCGTGGGCTCCCCGAACAAACGCCGTCCTCTTGGGCCCGATGTAACTCATCTTGTCCTGAGGGAAAGAGAGATGGCAGAAGGTGTGGCGGTGACTCCGGAACAGGGGCATCACCCCCCACCCGCATGACATGCTGGTACATGGAAATGACCCCTATGAAAGAGACTTCCATGGGATGTAAAAGACTTCCCAAGAGGAAACGGCAAAGCTTCCAGGGCTCTTTACCTGGGGGAGCAGTGAGGATTTCTCAGGGATCACAAATATGTTGAGTGAGCCCAACGAATCCTCCTTTGGTAAAGGCAACGCGGCTTCGGCCTCTAAGGAAAAGAGCAGCCAGGTGGGCAAGAAGCCTAATGCCCCAGCCCCTCCCTTCCAGAAGGCACCGCAACACCCCCAGACCCAGGGGCATCCTCCAGGTCAGAGCCCAGCGTCCAGTGGGGCCCCTGGAAAAGCTGCTGCCCTTGAGGGGAATCCTCTGTGGCCCCTCCCTGCCCTTCTCCCTGGAGGGCGCAGAAAAGGAAAGTGAAGAAAGGCACAGGTCCCTGTGGGGCTCCCCTCCTCCTACCTTGAACAGTGTCCTTTTTCAAGGCATTCTCCTCAGAGGACCCCGCCATCCGATAGGCCTGCTGGAAGCGGCTTTTGAGCCTCATTTTGCCTGAGGGAAAAGGAAGTGTAGGCTCCGGGGCTGGCCCTCAGAACAGGCACCTAAACTCTGTAAGCTCATCCCAGACATACCCGAGGGGCAAAAAATGCCCAGAAGCTTCGGCCCTCACCTTGGCCATTTGCTCCTTACTCACTTGTCTCCAAACCTGCCTGCATTTCCCCAGCTCCCCATCGCTGTCCACATGTCCTTCTGACTTAGAATGCCCTACCCCCCTACCCTTCATAAATCAGGGAGGCCCCAACTACATCCCCTACCCCCTTCCCAGCTCTCCCCTCTCTGTACCTTCCCTATTCTGAGTACTTATCACACGTGTCCTGACATACTCATGCGTCCTCTCTGATCTGTACATGGCATCAGTATGCTAGAGTCAAGTTTTAGTATGTCCGACTGTGGCCTATCAGACCAATGAGCTCTGATCTGTATTACTAGACTGAAAGCGTCATATGGTCCTTCCCCACCTTGGCCTTCCTTCTCTTCCTCCTCCCCCAGCACAGAGATGGGCTCAGCTCTTCTTGGCCCAGATCCCGTATCCCCCACTGCTTCCTATGGTCACTCTGCCTGGCACTCAGGCCCACCCAGGGAGGAGGCAGTGCCTCAGAGGGGCTGGGGGAAGGTGGAATGAGATGCTCCAACAGCGTTAAATCAAGCCCTCCCCCACAAGGGTCCAAACCAGTTCAGTGTTGTCTTCTCCTTATTCCTGAGGGACAGAACGTTCCTGAAAAGGCAGAGGGCTGCCTGCCAAGGAAGGGCTGAGTGAGGTGGAAGGCCTAATTCCCTTAGCCTTCCCTCGGGAGAGGCCAGAGGTAGCTCCCCATGACACGTCCAGCTTTGGCATGCACTGGGCATGGCCCCATCCCACAGCACTGCCTTGTCCACTCTAGGCCTGCAGGTGAACCCCAGGCCCATTTCCCCTACCCATTATCCTGCTCTCAGGCGTCCCTCCCTCTACGGTCTCTTGGTGAATGTTCAAGGACAAATTCATTCCCACAACAGTCTAAGCCTAACAGAGTAAGAAAGGGGCATCCGCTGTGAAATTCAATTCAACTAAACTCGGCATTTATTAAATACCTACAGTGTACAGAAAAACAGGAGGGAGTAAGGGAGGAGATGGGGAGACTGACCAAGTTCAGATGAAATACAAAAAGTCTTTGTGGAACTTGTGATCGAGCTGTTGAGAAAAAACGACTCTCAAGTGTAATGCCTGAGCGTATTACACAGCAGAACATACTTATCTGAAAACTGGATTTAGAATCAGAGGACCTGATTCTGCCACTGACATGCTGAGTGACCTCAGGCCAGTCACCTCATCTCTCTGGGCCTCAGTTTCCCATTTCTACATTGGCCTAGATGATCTACCTCTCGAGTCCCTTCTGGCTTCAAGTCGTGCTCTGCTGATCCCGGGGCCCGGCCACTGCTCCTTTTACACAGACCACCACCAACCCCGAGCCTCGAGAAGTAGCGTGCCTCGCTCTTGGCAAGGACATTCCCTCCTTCCTGGGGGATTTTCCTGGCTAGTTTGGCACCAGAAGGGGATGTGGATAATTCAACAAACCAGAGAATCCAAACAGCATCTGTAATTCAGCTGGGGTTCTCTCTACCACCATCACTCCTGTTCAGCCCTGATCTCCCAACCCAGTTCAAAGGTCAAGGAGCCTGGGCTGCTGTGGATAATGGGCAGTTTCTGGACAGAGCCTTAAAAATACTTAAAAAGTGCCTTTCTGTCAGGCTTCCACCTGCCCAATAGCCATACAGTAAGCATGCTACTTGGAAACATCCATATGCTATTCTTTATATCGGGGACCATAAGGATGATGATGTCAGTGCCAACATGGTGCCAACCCTCCTTCACGTCTGTGAAAATCCAGAGAGACAAGTGGTGTGGAGTGCTTTACAAACCTTAACACGGCAGACCAACATCAGCTATCTCCATTACCATGATGTGTGGTGGAAAGACTGAAGCACCCCCTTGAATTTCCAGACTATTCCTATTTTCAAAATATTCGGCCGAGATCCTCGAACCCAGCTCTCCTGTTCCCACTCCCACCTGAGGCATCTCTGGACTGCGAGCATGCGAACCAGCAGCGGGCCCTGGCTGCTCCTGGAAACTCTGCTTTTGGGGCTGGGGGCTGGCTTTGGCAGCAGGCTCTGTTCCTGAGGCCTCCCAGGAGGCTTCAGCTATGTCTCCAATTCAATTTAACCACCACTGATCAGAGGGCTTCTAGCCACACAAACAGTGCCTGGCCTTGAAGATGCCACAAGCATTGAGTAAGCACCTGCTGTATGCCAAACACTAGGCTGGGGCTGGGGCTACTAACTGTCCTCCAGGTGGAGACAACATGTACACATAGAAAGATTTCATACAAGAGAGCATTTAGGGAGGAGGTGCTAGCAGCTGGGGGCCAGGGAGAATTCGGAATGGGCTTCGTGCCATGCAGGGCGCAGAATAAAGGCTTGTTAATCTGTGGGAGGCAGAGGCTGGAGCAGAGGCTTGAGGAAAAGAGCCCGTGTAAAGGTAGAGCTGAGGAGGCAGGACAAAGAAAGCCTGGGGAATGGGCAAATGACCATCATCTAGAGCGCAGCTGATGGGCCAGTCTGAGGAAAATGTGAGAATGGATAAAGAGGAACGCCGTGAAATAAGACAGGGGGAGCCAGGCTGTGAGGACTTTAAAGGCCAGCGTGAGGATCTCATCCTACTTTATCTAGAGGCACTAGGGAGCCACTGAAGATTTTTGAGCTGACGAGTTACCCGGTCAGAGCTACGTTTCAGGAACAGAAGCAAAGAGATTGATGTGGAAGGCGGTCATCTTAGGGAGGGGCACTGGCAATACTGACAACTACCATACTTAACAAGGCAGAAAGAACAGGGCAGAGAGGACAGAGTCAGAAGACGCAGAGTCAGGAAGATAGGAGCTACAGTCCCACCTCCCGGTACTTACAACTGTGTGACCCTGGGCAAGTCACTTCATCACTGAGCCTCAGTTTCCTTAAATGTAAAATAGGAATAACAATACTTGCAGTACCCACCTCACAGGCTTGCTGGGGGGATCAAATGAGATCGCATACTTCCTCATTGTGTAAATGTGTAAGTACAGTAGAAATGTGAGCTATCATCATGCTTGCTAAGGGGTAAACTCCCGCTCCCCCACGGAGGCTGAGAAAATCCATCTCTAGGCTTTTGGTGAACTATTTTTAAAACTATAAATTTAACCTCCAAACAAATACACAAAAAATGGGGGGGGGGGATAAATGAGACCATAAATTAATTTGTGGTGCTTTTAAAAGCACCTATCAACTTTACCATGGTAATACCAAAATCACCCTTAATGAGATTTACAGGACACCCAGACTGCAGGGCATTGTGCCTTGCCCAATTCCTTCCCAAACTCCCAAAAGTCTGTCAGGGTACCCCCCTGCCCATCCCTAGGAGCTAGAGGGAGGCAGAGACAGGCAGATGGGGGTGGAGGAGACTCACATTTCAATGGGATATCGCGCTCATTGACAATTGTGAAGGGCAGTTTTTGCTGATCCACTATGGGCAGAGACCCCTGGACAAACACCACAGACACCGGAACTCTGAGCCGGAGCTAAAAGGAAAGAGGAGATTAGGGGCCCCCAGCAGAATCCTCCAGCACCACAACATAAAGCCCCGAGTTTTTGTTGCCCCTTGTCCCTCCCCCCCCAAAGGCCTCACCAGCAAAGAGTCCAGCTCGCTGATCTGGGAATAAGGCAAGGCCGCCCGGTAGGTCTCGGTCGTCTTCCACCACAGGGGCAGCCCCAGCATGACGGCCATGGTGGCAAAGCAGAGGGCGGCATGCTTGCCTCGGATCTTCTCTGGGGGAAGCGGTGAGATAAGGAAGGAGTCAGCCAGAAAACCCTCCATGGAAGAAGTGGGGAAGGAAAGCCCACTAACCTGGACAGCCCAACAGTCAATGCTCCCTATGGGCCAGCCAGTGTGGCCTGAAGTCTGGGCACTGCCCACGCTGCCACCCCTTCAGCTCCAAGTGGGGAGGGGAGGGGTCTCTAACCCTCCTCCTGCTCACACACTAAGGGGGGTGGGGAGTTCTCAAGTCCTGCCCCCACACACAGAAGGGAACCTCCAGTCCAGGAGCTCTTAACCTGGGGTCTTGATTTTTTTTTCTTTCTTACTACTTTGACAGCTTTATTTCAATGTATCTGGTTTCCATGATAATCTTATTTTATGCATTTAAAAACTTCATGCTGAGAATGTGTCTCACACTAGGGGAGCCTAAAGTGATGCACACACGTGCACGTACACACACATTCTAAGGGGAGCCTCTCCTCCAGTGCCTCTTTAATTTTTTTTCTTCTTAATATTGATAATCATATTTCAATACACATGGTTTCTCTGGCGATGCTATGTAACATTCTGTGCATTTATGTTATGCCACACACTCTGCGGAGCCTACGGACACGCACACAAATGCAGGTACACAGGTTGTAAGCGGATCCTTGGGCCCCGCACACCAACACACAATACCCACGCAGATACACGCCTGCTCGCGCGTAAGCACACAAACCCAAGGGCGCACGCACATCAAGCACACCAACACACGCGCGTGCACGTACACCCAGGCACATAAGCACACAAACACGCCACACCCACGCGGGATGCACATAAGCACACAACCACAGGCGCGTGCACATATGCACCCACACGCACACACACACCGCGCGTGCCCATACACACACCCAAGCCCACAAACGCACCCTTCTTGGGGCCTCAGTTTTTCCCTCCCTCGGCGGAGGCCCCGCCCGGCTCGGACCCCCGCCGGTCCCCCCACACCTGGGTCCAAGATCAGCGCTGGCAGCGCCTGGTTCCGTTCTCGGTCTCCTCGCTCCAGCCGAGGACGTTCCACTCGAGCTCGCTCCCCCAGCATCCTTCCTTCCGCCATCCTTCCTTGCCGCAGAGTACAGGGCGGGGCTACGCCCGCGTCCTCCAATCAGAGCTCAGCGTGCCGCTCATCCGGACGGGGCGGAGCCAAGGTTTGGTCGCGGCCAATCCCAGGGCGGTATCCCCTAGCAACTCGCCTGGGCCCGCCTCCTGAGAGCAGACTGCCGGTCACTACGGGCCGCGGCGACAGACTGAAGAGCTTGGGGCGCATGAGCCAAGGAAATGCGATGTGTAGCCGAATGCACCTGCTCTAGCGGCTCCTGGTCTAGACCCGTCGGGAGACGCCCTGGAGGGGCGTGGCACAGACCTTCCAGACGTCATCTCGAAAGGATCGTGCAGAAGCTCCGACGTACAGACCTCAGAGGTCGTCTGATGCTACCCAAATCAAATCAACAAGCGTTTATTATTAATCACTGGGGATGCAGAGAAAGGCAGAAACAGACCCTGCCCTCAGGGAGCTTACAGTCTAAGGCGGCATCCCTGAACTAGATTGCCCAGGCAGCTGTGGCGCTATTAGACAGCTTTCATGGCTAGGAAGTTCTCCCTGACATCAAGCCTCAGTTTACTTCCTTTGCATTTTCCATCTCTTGCTTCCAGTTCTTAGGATCATAGTTTTAGAGCTGCAAGGAACCTTGGAGGTCATCCTGTCCAACCCACTCATGTTACTGATGAGAAAACTGAGGCCTAGAGGAGTTAAATGACTTGCTTAAGGTCATATGGCAGTTCAACCCTCTCCCATTTTACAGATGAGAAAACTGAGGCTCAGAGGAGCTAAATGAGTTTAGAATGTGTCTGTGATGGGATTTGAGTGGACTACAAGTCCAGTACCCTTTCCAACACATAGCCGGCTTCTCAATTGTGCCTTTTAAGGGATAAGAAGCGCTTTCTCCTTTCAAGTACTTGAAGACTGGATATTATTGTCTTCCCTGAATCTTCTGTTCTCCAGGCTAAAAAACTCCCAGTTCCTTCAACTAATCCCAACTAATCCTCACATGGCACGGACTTCACCGCCCTAACTGACATCTGGCCAACTTATCAATACCATCCTAACATGTACTCCAGAGATATTATGACCCATATATGACCAACATTATCACCTCTCTATTTTGGATAGATAATGTCTATCTAATGCTGTACTTCTAGGTGTATTGTCTATCACCTGGACAATACACCTTATTGTTAATGGGGCCTGAGATTGTGGATAACAAAACCTACCTCAAAGTTAAAAAGAGCCTTTGACAAGTGACTCAAGAACCTGTGAAAGTTAACTTTTCCGCAGCTGACGACTTCCTCAGCCAGTAAGTTGCAGTGATCTGCATAGATGGAGAGTGTTCGCTCACCCGAAATTCCACACAGAGATGAAATCAGACGTCCCAACCCTCTGCACCAAACCCACCTCACGCCCCCAAATTTCTTGCATTAGTTTTCTTTGTAGCCACTTCATACTGTGTCCTATTGGACTGAGCCATTGCCTTGTCATTTGTCCTTCGTTCTCGAAGAGGACCATGACATCAGGAAGATGATGCTATGACCTGCAAATGAATTGGATTTAAGTGAGGCAGGGCTGTGCAAAGTCACTAGCTTCACTTTCTCCTCCAGAGCCATCTGGGTCCAGTGGCAAGATATAAATCAGGATGACTGGAGATGGCCCCCACAATTGCCTTAGAGAGTTAAGAAAGACCTGAGTTTCAGTCCTGCCTCAGGCACTAACTGTGTAACCCTGTGCAAGTCACTTAACCTCTCTCTGCCTCAGTTGCCTCATCTGTAAAATGAGATAATAATACCTACCTAACAGGATTGTTGTGTTGGTCAAATGTGATATTTGTAAAATACTTTGCAATCTCAAAGTGCTACTTAAATGTCAGTTATTCAACTCTGAGGTACCACCTCACACCTATCAGATTGGCTCATATGACAAAAAAGGAAAATTATAAATGTTGGAGGGGATATGGGAAAATTGGAAACTAATGCATTGTTGATGGAGTTGTGAACTGATCAACTATTCTGTAGAGAAATTTGGAACTATGTCCAAAGGCCTATAAAACTGTGCATATCCTTTGACCTAGCAATATCACTAAGTCTGTATCCCAGAGATTAAAAAACAGGGGGAGGGGAGGACCTATATATACAAAAATATTTCTAACAGCTCTTTTTGTGGGTGCAAAGAATTGGAAATTGAGGGGATGCCCATTAACTGGTGAATGGCTGAACAAGTTGTGGTAGATGATTGTGATGGAATACTACTGTACTATGAGAAACAATGAGCAGGCTGACTTCAGAAAAACCTGGGAAGACTTGTATGGTCTGATGCTGAGTGAAGTGAACAGAACGGGAGAACGTTGTACATAGTAACAGTAATATTACACAGTGATCAACTGTGAATGACTTAGCTTTTCTCGGTAATATAATGATCCCAGACAATTCTAAAAGATTCATCATGAAAAATGTTATCTACTTCCAGAGAAAGAACTGATGGACTCTGGATACACACAGAAGCATAATATTTTTCACTTTGTGTGTGTGTGTGTGTGTGTGTGTGTATGTGTGTGTGTGTGCTTTTGGTCTGTTTTCTTTCACAACATGACTAATATAGAAATGTGTTTTGAGTGATTGCACATATATAACCTATATCAAATTGCTTACCATCTCAGGGAGAGGATATTAGAAGGTGGAGCCAAGAAGATCTGTGTTCAAATACTGCCCCAGCCATTTTATTAGGTGTATGACCCTACCTAGGCAAATGTCTTGGCCTCTCTATGTCTCAGTTTCCTCATCTGTAAAATAAGGGAGTTAAACTCAATGGCTTCTGACTTCTTTCCTCTCCTTTCTTACATCTACTTAGATCTCAGAATTTCAGACTTGGAAGGGAATTCAGTAAACATCAAGTCCAATCCATACTTGGAAAATAATTCCTATATTATTCCTAATCATCAAGCATTTATTGAGCACCTATTAAATTCGAGTTAGCTACTAGGCACTGGGAGTACAAATAATGAAAGGAAACAGTCTCTGCACTAAAGTACTTATAACACTATGTACACACATATGAGAGATACATGTAAAAAGGTGAAACACAGGAAAGATACAAAATAAACACATGGGAGGAGGGGGCATGGCTAACAAATCACTGGAGGAGCTAAGAGAGGGCTCTGAAAAGTGGTTTGACCTTGAAGAGCACAAGGGGCTCCCAAAGGCAGAGGAAAGGAGGGATGGTATTCTAGGCATGGGGGGCAGCCTCTGCCAAAACATGGAGGTTCCAGGTGAACTGTGATGTGCGGGAGATAGCAAGAAAGCCAACTTAGCTACAGTATAGATTGGGTGAAGAGAAATAATGTGTGGCAACCTGAAGAAACAGACCACCGCCAGATTGTAAAAGGCTTTAAATGCCAAATTGAAGTGTGTGTTTTAATGCATAAAGTGCTGGACTTGAAGTCAGAAAGACCTGGGTGTGAATTATGCCTAAGAGTAAGACCCTGGTCAAATCACTTACACTGCCAGCCTCAGTTTCCTCACCTGTATAATGGGGATAACAATACACCTACCTCACCAGGTTGCTATGAAGATCAAATGAGATAATATGTGGAAAGTGGTTTTCAAAGCCTAAAACACTATAAAAATATAAATTATTAGCATCATCATTGAAGCAATAGAGAGCTTCTTGAACAGAGGAGAGAACTATTCAGACCTGTGCTTTAGGATTGTTGATTTCATAGCTATGGGATGAATAGATTGGAGAAAGGAGAGATTGAATGGAGGAAGATCGGTTATGAAGCTATTGAAATAATCCAGGTGATAGACTAAGGTGGCCTAAAGTAGGGTGGTTGTGCTGTGAGTACAAAGAAGGGGATGGATTCAAGATATGTTGTGAAGGTCAATGTTTACCAATGATCCCTTTAATAATATCTTTTAAACAACAAGGAAATCCAGGAAGACATAGAAATGAAAATCACATGCAAAATAACTGCAAAATGCATAAAAATATCTGGGAGTCTGTCTACCAAGTCTACCAAGACACTCTCAAAACTCTATAGAATTACAATTACTAAACATTCTTTAAAGAAATGAAGAATTATTTAGTTTGAAGTATATTTATTGCTCATAGTTGGGCCATGCTAATAGAATTAAAATGCTGATGCTACCCACATTAACTTATAGATCTAGTGCTAATATCAATCAAATAATCAAGGGGTAGGGGGAACAGAAACATTTATTAAGCATCTACTATGCACCAGGCACTGTGCTAAGTGCTTTGCAAATATTAAATCATTGGATCCTCATAACAACGGGGCGGGGGGGAGGATTGCTATGATTCTTCCCATTTTACAGTTGAAGAAAGTAAAGCAGATAGAGGTAAAGTGACTTGCCCAAGGTCACAAAGCTAGTAGTCTCTGAGGCTGGATTTGACATTAGGTCTTCCCGATCTATCCACTGCTCCTCCATGTAGTGTCTACTTTATAGAGCTAGTCAAAGTATTAATAATTCATTTAGGGGCAGCTAGGTGGCACACTGGATAGAGCTCTGGCCTTGGAGTCAGGGGGACCTGAGTTCAAATCTGTGCTCAGACACATGACACTCACTAGCTGTGTGACCCTGGGCGAGTCACTTCACCTCAGTTGCCTCACCAAAACAACAACAAAAACCTCCATAGTTCTTTCTTTGGATGTGGATAGCATTTTCCATCATGAGATCTTTGGAGATGTCTTAGATCCTTGCATTGCTGAGAAGGGTTAAGTCTATCAACGTTAGTCATCGCTCAACATGGCTGTTGCTGTGACATTCTCACTTCACTCAACATCAGTCCATAAAAATCTTTCCAGGCTTTTCTGAAGTCCACCTGTTCATCATTTCTTCTAGCACAATAGTATTCCATTACATTCATATACCACAACTTATTCAGTCATTCCGCAATTGATGGGCATTCCCTCAATTTCCAATTCTTTGCCACCACAAAAAGAGCTGCTATAAGCATTTTTGTACATGTGGGTCCTTTCCCATTTTTATGATCTCTTTGG